CCTTTGTCAACTTTGTTAGCAGTCTGCGCTACCACAAGGGGAGGTTGAGAGGTCATTCACTTACAAAGGCTTGTTCATAGGGATTGCCCTGTTGTTGCTTGAATTCAATGTAAGACAGCCATGGTTTGATGCTGTGCGGGTCGCGCAGAATGTCTTGTTCATAGACAGTATCCTCATTCCCCTTCAAAGAAGTTAGCAAACGTCTTCAAAATTTAGATCAACGGACCAAATAAAATACGATAGCTGCTTACAATCAAGTAGAAATCGGGCTGAGCGGGCGTGGCCTTGTCCATCTTTGGCTGGAGCCCTTCCTGCGGCCTTCTGTCTAAAAGTGTCCCGGGCATCTCACCACTCACAAGAGCGGGACCTTACGCAGGTCGCCACTGTGCCGATATACGAAGAGAGGGTCTGCGAGGAGCATGCAGAGTCATTGCTGGCGCGTGGGTTGAGTTGAAGAGAGGAGTCGTTCGCCGTCTCGATATTGCCGTTTTGAGTCGTGTCGGATCATCTGACCGCACTAGTCTATAAGCGGCAAGTCAGGCTTGGCACGTGGGCATTATATCAGCGTCAGATGGTCCAAGCGTCCAGGGCGCCAACTGGATATGACGAACTGCCTCAGTCGAAGCGCCGACGACCAGCAAGTCGAAACAGCTTAATGCGAGTTGTGCGGCCTCATTTGCAGGCCCCGTCCTATCAACTCTCTTCACGATGTCTGGAACAGGGGTATGTTTTGTCTCACGCCTTGCTGTCGTGCCTATGCTCGTCATTAATTTATTCTTCTAATCGTTTCAGGACCGAGAAGCTGTGTTTCCAACCCGGCAATCGCTGGGGATAATGAAGGGGAAGCTGAAAGGCGCGGAAACAGGCCACAGTCTTCTAAAGAGGAAAAGTGAGGCTTTGACAAAGTACGTCTAAATAAACGCAAATAATATCTAATATTGTTTTGTCTACTAATATTTATTCTCGCTCCCAAACAGGCGGTTTCGAGGTATGAAGCCTGTGGTAGACCCCATAATCCTAATATCTAGTCTAACGTCTTACGTTACTAGAAATCACTAAACGAATCGATGAGGCAAAACGGAAAATGGGTCGCGTTATGCAGATAGCGGCCTTTTCTCTCGCAGAAGTTACATATGCGGTCGGAGGAGATATTGGTTTCCAGATCCAGGAATCTGCGAAACAGGCACGGTTCCGCATACAGACAAAGCAAGAGAATGTCTCGGGAGTGATGCTGCCTCAATTTGAAAGCATAACGGCGGAGGGTAGTAATGATTTTGGCTTGACAGGCCTAGGAAAAGGAGGACAGCAAGTCCAGCGGTGCCGAGAGACATACTCAAGGGCCGTTGAAACACTCGTCGAGCTTGCTAGTTTACAGGTACGGCCTCGTGACCCCTCACCACCTAGTGCGACCACCACATTCAACTACTGACGGATGTTATGCTTTATTATTAGACGGCATTTGTAATATTAGATGAAGTCATCAAAGTGGTGAACAGACGAGGTATGTTGCCCTGGTTCCGTTATTGAGCAGGCTAAGTTGCTAACCCCTTATCACCTCAGTCAATGCCATGTATGAAATACCTCCCCTTTCCCCTTTAGTCGACTGGCAATTAGGCGCCGCCCTAAAGTACTCCGTATTCTACGTCGTATAGTTTCGGGGCACTCCTAATTTCCATTTCGGGTATGGCTTATTTTGGTGTGAACTGAGAGTCTGATTCCATCGCGTCCATCTAGTGAACATGTCATCATCCCCCGAACCGAAAATACTATTAAATGTAAGTGGCTCAAATGAATATTAAAAGCGGTGTAAATGGCTTACATTGCGCCAGATATCAACTCAGAGCTAGACGAGCTCGATCGAGAAGAATTTTACCGGCTTAAGAAGGTAACCAATGTTAACCCGAATCCGTTCGGTGCCAGTCTGGGATGGGGGCTAACCGGTAACCAACCTACTAGGTCTCTAACAAAAAACATGAAGTAACTGCAGCCGCCGATGCCGAAATGAAGGCCAAACGAGAAGCAGCGGAGAAAGATGAAATTGCAGAGTTAGAGTCAGCAGATACCCCGGCACCCGCCGATATTCTTGGGGAGCAAGAGGATAAGGATATCATTTTTTAATTTCACCGCTCTTTTTGGGCCATTGTACGATTTCCATGCGCGTCATTCGTAGAACGGTATATGCAGTAAGGTTTTCCCCTTAATATCTCATACAGCTAGCCATTGCCTATCTATCATAAATTGGATGAAGACTTAGGAGCACATTATCCCATTCATAAAACCCAACGCCTAAGAACATATCACAGCAATATCATAAAAGCACATAGAAATTTCCCATCGCAAACAAACAGTATAAGATAAACAAAGTCGAAAAAAAAAAGGAGTCCTCACTGCCTCTGGAACGTCACCCGAATAGGTTTCCCATTCTCCCCCAAGGGCATACCAGACGTAGCCTCCTTAGCACTGATAGCACCCGTTTCCGCCTCATATTCCACGAATGCAATTCCTTTCCGGCCCGGCACCATACGCACTTCCTTGAATCCCTCGAATCTACCAAATATCGCAGTAAGGCCGTCCTGGTCTAACGAATCAGGGATCTCCCGCAAGAACAGAATCTTATTGGGCGGTAGGTATTCGTCTTGGATAACCGGAGCTGCGGCGGCAGTAGAGGGTTTCAAGCCAGCGCCTCTGGTGACCTTTGACGGGCGGGCTTCCGCGCCTCCCGGTGCAGCAACTCCACGCTTCAACTTCTTCTGCGCCTCGAGCGCTTCCTGTGCTTGTTTCCTCTCTGTAGCGTCAAAAAAAAAAAAAGAGAGAAAGTCAGTCATGAGTGCTCTACATATACGAAAGGGAACGAAAAGGAAAAAAAGAAAAGAACTGACCCTTCTCCGCCAACCTCTTCCGCTTATGGGCCTCTAGCTCCGTCTCCCCGTGTTCTTTTAGCACTATCGCATCGCTTCTCGTCCTAGCATAGTCCAACACCATAGGTTTCTCAAAAAGTTCAAACCCGTTGATCTCCTCAATTGCGCGCGTGGCAGAGTCTACATTATCAAAGACGATAAAGGCCTGGCCTTTCGCTTTTAGGTTTGTCTTCGCGACGATATCGATGATGTTGCCGTATTCGGAGAAGATTTCGGTCAGTGCTTCTTTGAGGGGCTCGACTTTGATTCTTTCTTCGAGATTGCGGACCTGCACACGAGACGCAAAACGTGGTTTGCTTTGTTAGTCCTCCAATATTTTTCTATTGTGACTAGGAAGTAGTTTGAACTCTTTTCTTCTGACGTACATAGACACTAGAAGAATAGTAGCGAACAAGGTCAGTAAACTTGGAATTTTTGATCAGGGAAAAGGGTTCGAGGGCACTCACGTTGAATTGGGGACTATGCCAGACGCCGAAGCAGCTACGGCTGCCATGGTGAATGAAATTTAACGTGCCTCAAGTTGTCGATTGGATTTCATCAGCCCTGGAGGAGTCGAGAAATGCCCGCCCCAGCAATGCGAGAGCTTGGCTGGATTGGTCTGCAAGCTATCGGCGAAATTCTCGGTCCGGGCTGAAGCAGTGTATCATATCACGGGCTGATATTACTTCCCATCGTAACAAAAACAGCATCATTGGTCTAGTGGTAGAATTCATCGTTGCCATCCAACTGATTAGCTAATCAGTCACGTGATTCGATGAGGCCCGTGTTCGATTCACGGATGATGCATTAATATCTTTCTTTTTCTTTTTCTTTTTCTTTTTTATTATTACAGCCTCAACCGCTTGCTTACGCTCGGTGTGCTGCTTGCGCAGCCCCCCCATTCACCCCCTATCCCCCTACCACCATCATCACCCCTACCCCCCCTTCCACCCCCTACTGCCTCTATCACCACCATCACCCCTACCCTCTCTACTGTAACGGTAGGCCCTGGGGTC